TTCCCTCGAGGTCCTGCCATACCACAAAGGTCTGTTGGATAGTGGTTAGACGGAAAGCAGTTACCGTTTTGGTGTAAATTACTACATTATGTTGGGGTTCTGAGGGCGAAGTCGTACTGCTGTTAGCTGGATAGGGTGTGACAGCAGTAAAGTGTTTCCGTTGGATGACCAGCAGTGCCATGTTGATTCTGCCTTCTCAGTGTAGGAATGGGATCTTAGAAAAAGTCAGCCGTCCAGTCGTATAGCGCAGAGGCGACTATCAACTGGGATCCAGTTTAGTAGTGAGTTTTCTGCCCTAGTGCTTAATGCTATACCTACACCTGTAAGACCACGAGAGCTAGCTATCGGATCTCCAGAAACTCGAAGGGTGAATTTTGCGGATTCATCAGATTGGCCGGGAGATGTTAGGTGAATAACCGCACTTGGGTCCTGTATGCGTGTCTTGCAAACACAGCACACATCCATGCCCCGAGTTGCTAAAGTCTTTGCCAGCGAACACTGTTGACCGATTTGACGGAGGGTGCGGACATTGAAGGTTCCAATATGTAATTTGGAGTGTGGATTAAAGAGACCAAGGATGCTTTTCTGTGAACTCAGATTTTTATCAAAGGCTGCAGAGGTAGGAGAAATGAAAGACGATATAGTACTGTTAATTGGGAGACGTGAAGGAAGATTTAGAGGTAATGAGGGGGGGAGGTGGATAGCAGTCTGAGGAAACTTGAGTGCTGACAGAGTTGTGAGGGCGATTGATACTTCCTGGCTGCCCACACCGTGGAAGGCTATTTCTTCTTAAAGTACCTGAAAGAGATTTGTGTGACCGCAGAGCCCATCGGACATCTGCTTGAGGCCTGTCACACTCAGTATTTTGTGCAAGGTTGTTGTGAACTTTTGTATTTTGGGGGCCGGATAGTCGAAAGGAAACGACAAATGAACCAACACCACTGGCCCGGCAGACAGTGTGGCATGGTGGAGTATGTTATTTTTGGGGCCGACTTTTTCTAAGATCCCATTCCTACACTGAGAAGGCAGAATCAACATGGCACTGCTGGTCATCCAACGGAAACACTTTACTGCTGTCACACCCTATCCAGCTAACAGCAGTACGACTTCGCCCTCAGAACCCCAACATAATGTAGTAATTTACACCAAAACGGTAACTGCTTTCCGTCTAACCACTATCCAACAGACCTTTGTGGTATGGCAGGACCTCGAGGGAACAAGTGTCCCACCAGGATAGCTCGTTGGGTCATTGTGATATACAAGCCCGACCACCACGTCAAGGTAGCAGCTATCGGTCGGGAGGCTCTCTACTCGAAAACGCTTAGATGTATTAGAGCAAATGGTGAAATGTCCAGGGAGCTGTACTTCTAGAGTGGTGTCCGTTAAGGGTGCCCATTATCTCCATCCTAATTCTATTTTATTATATTCTTATGGAGGTCTCTCTCTCGTCACCTGTTTACACAGAGGTTGACCTAATCGCAGGAGAATTTTCGTTAGACCTAGAGTGGGCAGATGACATAGTCCTCTTAGGTGAAGACGTTTAGAAGACGCAGCGGGTTGAGTTACATTTTTTCAAGAATTAATTCTGTTACTCAACAGTATTCACAGCTAAAGTGCAGAATTTTGCCGTCCTTGAGTGGCGCTTAAAAACCTACGAAGTGACCAAACACGGGGAAAGCACGAGTGCTTTGGAAATCTTTGAATTTGTCAAGGGTGTTCCCAACAATAGACAGGGTTATGCAAAGTTCCCAAGAGGATACGTAACCAGTAATGGGTTAGTGAGAAATAAGACAGTGTAGTTATGGCAGTATCACACTGTCAACCTCAAAGTGCCGTTACAGAAGACATGATACTGAAATAAACCATTTTACAACCAACAACATTCCCAAAGAATTATTCTTGACAGAATACAAACTGGTACTACGACAAAATATGTTTTGTGTGTCGTACTGTTGATGACTGGAACTCTGGAACCAAGCCATCGTTGTCCCTACGTTATTTATGAGACAATCATCGCGGTATTAGTCTCTTACCAGTCACATCGAAATATTGGCTGCTACCATACTTCACATACTGCAAAACACGTGAGGAAATGATTCACAAGAAGCAGGCAAGTTTCCGTTCAGGTCGTGGTTGCACTCATCATGTGTTTACCCTCCTCCAGATGCTCGAACATCGCCACACGTATTGCAAGCCAACTATCGTTGTGTTTATTGACATTATGGGTGTCTGCGATTCGTTGGACAGCTGTGCTCTGGAATCTTCTGTTGGTGAGGGGCGTGCCTGAGAAATTTCTTAACATCTGGAAAGCCCTATATAAGAAAACACCTCCGGTGGAGTGAAGGCATACAACCACCTGTGCCCATCCTTCCAAACTAGCAGTGGGATTAGGCAGGGTTACCTGATTTCTCCATTCCTTCTTGACTTTGTCATCGATGACATTCTTGACACAGGTATGAAGGAGATGTGTGATGGTAGTGTGGATCTACTACCCTGAGAACGGCTATTCGATCTTGAATATGCGGACGATATCGTGATACTGTGTGATAACACAGGCCACTGAAGCCGCACTTAATCAGTGGGCGATTAGGGTCCGTACGTATGGCATGTGCTTTGCACCAATGAAGTGCAAAGTACTTTTGCAAGATTGACAGGAGCCTGTACCTGTGCTCGCCCTTGGTGGTGAGCCGTTGGAAGTAGTCGAAAAGTTCATTTAGCTGGGTAGTTGTGTATGCTGATTGAGGTGTATGATGAAATTCCTAACCACATATCAAAAGTCAGAGTGGCATAGGCCAATCTGGGCCACATTAGTCTGACCGTAAAAGGTCTAGTTTACAACACTTCTGTGCCAGGAGTTCCGCTCCACGGGTGTGAAACCTGGTCTCTCAGACCTGTGGATGTGCGACTACTCTGTATGTCCAGTCGTCGTTGTCTCCGTAGTATTTCTCGTATCCGGTGACAACACTATGTAAGTAATTCTGAGGTATGACAGGATGTGTTCGGGCATGATGGAGATCATCATTCAATAGGCAGTTATCTGGAAACACTGACTTCGGTGGCTTGGACATGTGTTACGCATGTCGCCCTAACGGTTTCCATTCTGTTTATTGTTTGCTAGCCCTGGGACTGGGTGGAAGAAGCAGAAAGGTAGTCAGTGTATGAGATAGTGGCGTGGGATGAAAGACAGTTGTATCGCGTTAGCATCCATTGGTGCTTCGCGACTCCCTGGGTGGAGTCCAAGAGATCAGGAAACTCAGTAGCTTTGGACGTTTTCAGATATGGGTCAGAATCGAAACCGGTGGTGATCATGCTGTAGCTTCCTTCTATCTTCTGCTGCTGAAAGTAATCAATGTTTTGTTTTTAATGTACCTTACTGGACTGCCGTTCTAATCATGTTATTCTTATTGTTTTTCTTTCTTACTTATCCACTTCACATCGTTTATATATTCACATTTTTACTATGCTATTTTGTGTGGTGCGATTCCTGGTGCCCTTGCTACACCATGTTTGTGTCTTAATAATAATAATAATAATAACGATAATAAGAGAACGAATGGACCAGTCGTCTTATGTATTTGCAGGCGTTAAGAAATAAGACAGAAGCTCTTGGATGGGACATTTCGAGAAGGCGGATCACCATAAAGTCACGACATCGATTCCCACCATAAAAACTACATAATCCCCAAGATGACCGTTTACACTGTTGACCCAACCGATAACTATAAGCTTGACGTAGTTGTCAGACTTGCATATCACAATGACCTAACGAGCTACACTGGTAGGGACGCATGTTCCGCCGGGTCCTATCATACCAGAAAGGTTTGTTGGATAGTGGCTAGAAAAAAGCAATTACCGTATAGTGTAAATTACTACGCTATGACACGGGTCTGGGGGCGAAGCCGTACTGCCGACTGAACGGAGGTATGACAGCAGTAAAGTATTTCCTTTGATTGGCCAGCAGTGCACGCTGATGCTACCTTCCTCATGGGAAGAGGTGGTGGGAAAAGGTCGGCCCCAAAAACAACACTCCCTCCGCCTCGCGGCATGCGGTGCCTGCGACAGGGATTAATAGTCGGATTCGAAAGCAAAAAGCAGCATCTCAAAACTGCCAAAAGACCGTGTGTGACAGCTCTCAAGCAGATGTTCCATGGGCTGTGTGAACACACAGTGTCTTCCCTTTTTCAGGTACCTCAAAAAGAACTAGCCTTCCACGGTGTGGGCAGCCGGGAAATGTCAACCGCCTGCACGCTTCCAGTAGCACACAAGACCCAATCAAACATAACCTATCCTCTTCAACTCTATCTCATCCTCTGCCTTCACTCCTGCTA